AATTAATTAGTCTTTATTACAAGAAAAATCTTACAAGTACATAATAAATAAATGTATATAGAGGTATAGAAAAAGTTGGTGTTATTGGATTTTTTTGTTTGTTTAATTAATTTTAAAAAAAGTGATATAATTAGTTATTAGTAGTTATATTAAAATAGTAATTAAAATTGATTTGATGCAAAAGTAAGAGATAAATGATTTGAAGTGGTGGTTAGTTAAAATAATGTGAGTGGATGAATAGTGAATTAATGTTGACGTGGTTTATATGAATGATTGATGGATATTATTTAATTATATTGATGATAGTGAAATTGAGTTAAAATTGAGTTTAAAAAAATTATTAAGTTAAAATGTGGGAATTTTTTTGAATTTTTTTGTATGCAAACATACCCTTATTACTTGTGAGAATGATTTAAATCATGTTAAATACAATTACTAAGAAATTTTTTTAAGGTAAAAATTATAATAAAAACGAAGTTAGTTATAGAATTGTTAAACGAATCGAGTTGTTCGTAAATATAGCTCGGTTCAACTCGTAAAAGCTCTGGCTTGGCTCGTTCGTTTATTTACATAAGTGAAGTTCGACATAACTAATCGAACTCATTTATTGAACGGACATATGTAGGCTTGTTCTCGAACAACTCATTTATATTTTTTTTTATATTTTAAATGAATTATTCGATTCAAACTTTTCTTAAAGATAAAAGATGTTTTAATTAGGTAGTTTTCTTAAAGCTCTAGCCAGTTTTATTAATTATATTTTCTTAAAGATAAAGATGTTTGGAATTCACAAAACTTTGTTATTTAAACAAAATTATATGTGTAGTTAGTTAATTATGTACTTTCTCCCTCGGTAATTAGAAAAAGAGAAGCATTTTCAGTGGGCTCAACCTACAAGTATTTGATGGACATCAAATGGAGGGGCATGGACTTACCTGAAGGAAGCAAAGGTTTGGATCTCCAAAAAAAGGAAGATGAGACACTTCATCTGAAAATGCTACAACAATAACAACAATTTGGAGAAGAGAGAGGTTAAGTTAGATCCCCTTTGTAAAGTATGTGGACAAGAAGCTGAGACTCAAAAGCATCTTTTTTTTCACTGTGCAAAATCCAAGAGGATCTATCTCTAGGGAGGGACTGCAGGCAACTTCAAGCCTTGGTGGACGCTATATCAGTCCCACAACAACCTCAAGCTCAAGAACTCAATTCACATCTTATTTTGGAAGGCCCGAAATCTTTGGGTGTTCTAAATCCACTGGCTTGAGGAATTCTGTATTGTCCAGCTTGCATCCTCAGAATTTAGTGCTTGCAATCCTTAGACTTGTTGTGTTTTTTGGTGTCTAGACTTGGGTGACGTTTTCCTTGTAGTTAGTATGGTTTTTCAGTTACTGCTCTTTTGGAACTTGGACTTTATTTCTTGTTGTTAGTTCTGTTAGTTTTGTTTGGTGTTGGTCTTTATCTGATCTGCTAGGCTCAGTTGCAGGTATTCCTTTTGCTAGGTGCTAGTTGGTTCAGTCTTCTAGTGCTGTTGTAGTAGGGGTCAAGCACCTGGTTCGGCTGCTATTGTCTCTGCAGGTTGTGAGTTCCCCTACTATAGTCTTTTTGCGTTGCTTTCGGAAGTGACCCTCGGAATCTACCTTTCAGTAGGTTAGCCCTTGGGCTGTGTACATTTTGCTGAGTTATAATATCNCAGAAAAAAAAAAGAAGAAACACTAAGGGCATGCCTGTTTACAAATTATTTCATTCTCATTCAATTCATACTTAAAATCTAACTCAACTTTAACCCAACTCCACTATCTTTAATATCATTCATATAATTAAATTATACAAATCAATTATTCTTACACATCACATCAACTTTAATTCACTATTCATCAACTCACGTAATTTTAACTATCTATCATTTCCAATCATTTATCTCCTACTTTTACATCAAATCAATTTTAATCATTTAATTTTAAATATTATTTTAATATATTCTTAAAATTCCACTAACAACTAACTATACAACTTTTTTCAAAATTAACTATAGTTAACCAAAATAACTCATTTTAAACAAATTATTGCATAAACAAAAGGACTCGAATACATGCGGCCCGATTTGGGGCATCCGGTAGTGGGCACTCGGCCCAAGAGCTCCCATCCTTTTAACGTCCAAGTACAAGCAAGCCCAAATGCTGGCCTAGACAGCCGATCCAATAGGATTTAAGCCCAGTCGAACATAAAACCCTAGTCCGTAACCTTACCCTTGGCAAGTGAAAGAATATTATTTAGGGTTTCGTAAGCCGTTCTCAGGCTCAACACTCCATCCCTCACATCTGCAAGGAAATGGTAATACCTTGTCTCAATTATCTTCTCATTGCGACGCGCGTTATGGCCAGTTTGCCTAATTCTTTTACTGTGATTGGGGCACCATTTTACAGGCTCCGAAGAAGGGTGTTAGGGCGCCGGCGGCCGCCAAGAAGAAGGCGGAGAAGGTTGTGAATCCTCTGTTCGAGAAACGGCCGAAGCAGTTCGGCATCGGAGGCGCCCTGCCGCCGAAGAAAGATCTCCACAGGTTTGTGAAATGGCCGCAGGTTGTGAGGATCCAGAGGAAGAAGATGATCCTGAAGCAGCGTTTGAAGGTTCCCCCGTCAATTCATCAGTTCTCTAAAACCCTCGATAAGAATTTGGGTTCGTATATATTTATTCATGTTTGGATAATTGGATCTTTTCGCACTGCCAGTAATGAATTTTGTGGATTGGGTATATCATAGTTGGAACAGATGTTCTAAATCTGCATTTTGCTACTGTGTATTATATTATTGTCTCCTTGCTGTTAGATTACGACGTTGTCACTTAGTCGAAGCATGTACTGTGCTGTACTTGTTGATATTTTTCACCATAATCAGGTAACGAATAAGCTAAGCATGAAATTACCAGTACTGTTCATGAGTTGTTGTCACAATGTCATTCTAATAAATATTGCCTGATTGTTAGGTATCATCGTTATTTTTTGCGGATATATTTGCCTGGAGGATGCATTGACAGTTGAGTTACTTAGCGATCGAGAATAGAAACTAATCAAAGCATAGAATTAGCATATAGTTTGATTATGCTTTCTTCGACATTTTATCTCAATGTGAGGAAGCTCATTTCAGAGCCATGCTGTCCAATTGATGTTTGGGATGTTTGGGTTATGTTTATTTGACGATCAATAAATCATAAAATAAATCTTATGATTTATTGCAGTAACTGTTTTATAACATATACTAACTTTAGATTATCCACTCACACAACTTACAGCGACCAGCCTTTTCAAGATGCTACTCAAGTATAGGCCGGAGGACAAGGCTCAGAAGAAAGAGCGTCTCTTGAAAAGAGCTCAAGCTGAAGCTGAAGGAAAGACCCCAGAATTGAAGAAGCCTATTGTGGTGAAGTATGGCCTTAACCATGTCACCTATCTCATTGAGCAGGTTGAGTCTCATATTCTTTGTGTAAAACTCCTGCAAATTTTAGGCTGGGTGCTTTAAGATTAAACTATGTTTCCTTTTGCAGAACAAAGCTCAGTTGGTCGTTATTGCCCATGATGTTGATCCAATCGAGTTGGTCGTCTGGCTCCCAGCTCTGTGCAGAAAGATGGAAATCCCATACTGTATTGTGAAGGGGAAAGCTAGGCTGGGCACTGTAAGTAGCTATACTTTTGTTGATTCGCAAGTTTTCTTATAACAATTGTTTGGATTAAGAACAAAATATCATTTCAAATCCAGATGTTTTTCACAACCACCACTCTACCTTTATTTCTGTTGTTCCCTTTTTTTTTTTTATTTCAATAATTATTCGTTTGATGTTGAAATAATACTTTCGTGCAGATTGTCCACAAGAAGACTGCCTCTGTTTTATGCTTGACCTCTGTAAAGAATGAAGATAAATTGGAGTTCAGCAAGATTCTGGAGGCCATCAAGGTATATAATGTTAAATACTTGCTCATTTATTGGTCAAACATGAGATAAGAATGTAAATTATGATCCAAAGGGGCAAATCCTAAATTTGTGATGCTGTTATTTCAGGCCAATTTCAACGATAAGTATGATGAGTTGCGTAAGAAATGGGGTGGTGGAGTCATGGGGTCTAAGTCTCAGGCCAAAACAAAAGCAAAGGAGAGGCTTCTCGCAAAGGAGGCTGCACAAAGGATGACTTGAAGGGACATATATTTTGCTGTATTGTCTTTTAGTCATAGAAATCCGATGAGGATAGAACTTGTTATGTGCACTTGTTTACCCAATTTTCTTAATAGACATCAATTTTGTTTCAGTTTGACTGTTGTCTTTTTTGTTTTAATTTTGAGCCATTCGATTGAAACCTTGAAAGAATTTATCTTGTTTATTCCTATTCCTGTTGTGTATTTACATTTTTGGGTCGGATATTCGGCTGCTGTTTTATTTTATGATTATGCTTTGGAGAAAAAGATGAGTAGCTGGGCAAAGCAGCACCACAGAAATTAGAGATAAAGCCTTGGCATTTATTGTTGTGGCCACATAATTATAGTTGGAGAATAAATCTTTTGACAGAAAGATGCATTTGTAGTCTTTCTTCTATTCATGCAAACCTGTACCATTTACATTAAGTCTGACATTTCAATCTATACCATACATTAAAATTAAGTCTGATAAATTGTTACAGACACACAAAACTTCCCACTATTTTCTGCTGTTTAAATTATTTCCTCTTTTATCTGCTTCAGATTGCGTTGTTTTTTTGTTAGTTTCAGATTCTGTTTCAGCTTAACTTATTTTCTACTTTCTGCTTTTGGACAAAAAAAGAGTTCTATTGTGAGTGACTGGGCACCAGAAAATGCATTAGGGTAATTGAAAATAAATGGTGGCCCATGATTGGGCAAATGAATAATTCTTCACATTTTCAATATCATGGAATCAAATATATGGTGGTACCGAAATAGGAAATAATATATGGTGTACAGATAAAGAAAGTTTCTGAAGAAAAAAATCAAGGTTCCAGAGAAACATTTGATTGAATTAATCTGTTCACTTTCATTCACAACAAATAAAGTCCCGACAGA